TGGCACAAAATATCTGCCAAAAGCAAATGCACAATAGTCGGCCGGCCAAAAATGTAATTTGACCAAAATAGATGGCCGGTCGACCATCCAGAGTGCCGGTCGGCCAAACATTTGGCCGATGGAAACAAAACATGGCTGGTGGCCTCAAGCCGTGGCCGGTGGAGTGTGGGGATGGCCAACAAGCCATTCCCTGCCCTCCAAAGCAAAAACACAAGTGTTTGGTGCAAAACCAAACACAAAACAGTCGAGTCGAGAGATCCTGAGGCAGGGTTCGTGGCAGAGACCTCCGGGAACTCAAGACGAACACAAACATGGATGATCACCGAGTGTTCAAACGGTGACGTCCAAGTCTTGAGGACGGTCAAAAATGGGGTGTCTCTAACAAGTCAACTCCACTGAAGTGCCAAGTCGCAGGTCAACTCCACTGAAGCCACAGAAGCCCTAGGAGATACCAGTAGTAGGTTACCAAGTCACATAATCAACGCGTTCAGCTGCGTCGCTACACCGGGAGAGTTGATCCTGATGGCACTTCCGGATGACAAGAAACCGGTTGATGGAAAATTGAGTCCTAACTGAGACGGCCATTATCAGATAGATTCCATATCGGCTCAGAAATATATCAGGAAGGAGTCTGCCACGGCCGTGGAACCCGAGGCACTTGCAAAAATTTTGTAATTAAACCCGACCTGTGGGGAATGATCCTAGTTCTAAATGATTCGCCATGTACACATTCCACTTTTGAAATGCAAGGATTCTCATTGAAAAGTTGTAATCCCACCTACTGCAAAATATAATTAAAAAGTGCTGCGATGGAAAAAAGCCTTCGGATTCAGAGCGCCCTTCGTGGATATCACGATTGGCCGACTAAAGTCTCCGGATTCGGAGCCCCATTGGCGCATGACGTCTTTGGGCCGAAAAAGCCTCTGGATTCGGAGCGCCCTTCGTGGATATCGCGATTGGCTGATTAAAGTCTCCGGATTCGGAGCCCCATCGGCACATGACGTCTTTGGGCCAAAAAAGCCTCCGTATTCGAAGCGCCCTTCGTGGATATCACGATTGGCCAAAAAGTCTTCAGATTCGGAGCGCCCCTCGTGGATATCACTATTGGCCGATTAAAGCCTCTGGATTCAGAGTGCCCTTCGTGGATATCATGATTGGCCGACTAAAGCCTCCTGATTCAGAGCCCCATCGGCTCATGATGTCTTTGGACCGAAAAAGCCTCCGGATTCGGAGCACCCTTCGTGGATATCACGATTGGCCGATTAAAGTCTTCGGATTCAGACCCCCATCGGCGCATGATGTCTTTGGGCCGCAAAAGCCTCCAGATTCGGAGCGCCCTTCGTGGATATCACGATTGGCCAAAAAGTCTTCGGATTTGGAGCCCCACTGGCGTATGACGTCTTTGGGCTGAAAAAGCCTCCGGATTCGAAGCGCCCTTCGTGGATATCACGATTGGCCAAAAAGCCTCCGGATTCGGGGCCCCATCGGCACATGACATCTTTGGCCGATAAAGCCTCCAAATTCGACTGACCAAATAAAGTCCCGCTAGGCGACGCTCAAGGGCCGTATGAAAAAATGCTTAATTAAAGCAGGGATATGCAAGATGAGCCGACACAACCACATGAACAAAACAAAACGTGCCAACATTCGACCATTACAACGAGATAAGATGCTTAATCGAAATAAGATGCTTAATTAAGAACGAGATATAAAAACTTTTAAAATAACACATTTTATTTGATTAAACAGTAATTACAAAAACGCAATCCGCGCTCGAGCATTACAATATCTATCTTCATACGGCGTCGCCTTCGTCCTCACCCTTCTCAAACTTCGAAGGCGAAAAAGGGGAAGTGGTCGCGTTGGTAAAGCGGCAGCACCGAATCAGCGCCCGCTGCTCGGAGAGCATCCGCAGCTTGAAATGCTTTGATCTAACCGCACTTGAATCTACGATGTTCACACCGGCGAGACAATCACCCTCGAGGTGGAAAGCTTTGACGCCATAGACAACGTCAAAGCCAAGATCCAAGACAAGAAAGGAATTCCCCACGAAAATAGTAAAACTCAATGGTCGCGGCGCTACGTCGGCCTCATTTCTCGGTCGTGGTTACGGAGAACTTCCTTGTTGCTGTTTCTCCCTTCGGGGTGATCTGCTTCGACGACTTGGGGGCTGACGTTTTTCCCGTTCTTTGAACGACCTACCTCTCGCACGGGTGGGTTCTCTGCTACGATTCATTGCAGTATCAAGCTCAGCCAAAGTTCGAGCTTCTCCTCTGCTGATTGAAGAAAACTCCATTTGACATTTACACTTATCTAACCCCACACAACGCAATTGTTTTAAATCGAGTCTAAACACAGTAAGTGAAGTTACTGGCGCAAAGAGTCCGAGGCGATTTATTTATAATCCTTGTAGTGACCCTGAGGCGATTTCATTAAACACTGAACTCCAAAAGACAGACACCGATTGATATTGGCCACAACCATTCAATGTACTAATTTTTGGCTTTTCAAAGTTAAAATGGCCCAATTATCTAAACGGCAACTAAAGATGGGCTGACAGTCTCCGAATTCAGAGCCCCATCGGCGCACGACGTCTTTGGGCCGAAAAAGCCTCCGGATTCGGAGCACCCTCAGCGCGTGACGTCTCTGAAGTCGAAATACACGTGTGCCAAATAAAAATTACAACGAAACAAAGTTGAAATAGGCAAAATTGAAATAAACAATGTACTATTCAAATTAGATTGTTCAGGCTGTATAAACATAATACGTGCGCACATTCGGAATAAAGTGTGTACTAATATAAAGTGCATTACAAATTAAGAACTAAGCATTTTATTAAAATTAGCTAATAAATACATGATTTCACTTTCAATCTACATAATCATTACAAGGTTTTCTTCGGTTCGGCGGCTTCTTTGTCATCACTCTTCTCAATTTCGAAAGCAGAGAAGGGTAAATCATTCTGTTGGTACGACGGAAACGCCGAATCCAACCCTGCCGCGTGGAGATTCTCAACTTGCCGAAGTGCCTTGATCCGACTGTGCTTAAATCCACGATTTTCACATCGGCAGACTTCTTCGGCGAGTTTCTCCTTGGTCTTTTGAATCCTGACCTTTCAGCCGTCATGGAAGCCTTTTTCATAGGCCGTAGCCCTCCCAGTCTCAATCGCGAACATGCCAGCCGTATTACGATCAGCGATCGTATCACTAATCAGCCTTTGAGTAGCCCTCTCTTCGACAACCTGGTTGGGTGGCTGGTTGCTTGGGGCCCAACAGAGTTGATTTTCCTTAGCTCACGCTCGGCCTTCTCGGCGCGAGCTTCTAACTTCCGAATTCGTTCATCTCTCTATTCTATGTCGCGACGAGCGGCGTGGAGACGCATGCCAATCCCATAAGCCGTGTACAATCCCCTCACCGCCCCGTGAATGCCTTTACGAAACACTTCGAAGTCCGGCCACCCTACCATCGACTGCTGAACTTCGGGTTGAAAAATCTGTCGAGCAAACTTGACTGCCACATTTGGATCTCGAATGATCGAATCCGCCTCTGTCACTGGTCTATTACCCAAAAAATTGCGAAACTCAATGGGCGAGGAGTCGCGTCGGATTCCCTTCCAGGACGAGGTTGAGGAGACTTACACTGTGGCTGTTTGTCCCTTTTGGGCGACCTACTTCGACGATGAGGAGATTGGTGTCCCTCCTGATCCCTCGAAGTCCTACTGCCCGCGCGCGAAGGTTCACCACTTCGACTCATGGCACCTCCCAACTCAGCTAGCATCTTCGCTTCACCTCTGCTGTTGAAGAAAAACTTATTTGACATTCGCACTTGTTTAATCTTCTTCCAAGAGCTGGACTGAGTTGTTGACTGAGCACATAAATAGGACCCTCGTTCATGAACTACACGCCCATTTATTCACTACAAGGGCAGCACCTCCAAGGCAATCTCATTAATATTGAAGCGTCAACGGACCGGCGCTGACTGAGTCATATGCCCCAATCGCCCCATCCACCACTGATAATCGACGTTCTATGATCATGAACCAGCTCGGGCAAGGGTAGATTCACTAATCTAGATGGCTTGAGTGCCCCAGCCGTTCCACGAATCGATTTTCTACAAGATTCATACGTAACGCGTTAATCGGTGTTCTACGTTCATGAATTAGCTAGGGCAAGGGCAGATTCATTAATCTAGACGGCTTAAATGCCCCAGCCGTTCCACGAATTGATTCTCCAGTACAACATTCATATGTAACGTGTTAATCGGCGTTCTACGTTCATGAACCAGCTAGGGCAAGGGCAGATTCATTAATCTAGACGGCTTGAGTGCCCCAGCCGTTCCACGAATCGATTCTCCAGTACAAGATTCATACGTAACCTGTTAATCGGCGTTCTACGTTCATGAACCAGCTAGGGCAAGGGCAGATTCATTAATCTAAACGACTTGAGTGCCCCAGTCGTTCCATGAATCGATTCTCCAGTACAAGATTCATAAGTAACGTGTTAATCGGCGTTCTATGATCATGAACCAGCTGGGGCGAGGGAAGATTCTTCAATCTAGACAGCTTGAGTGCCCCAGTCGTTCCACGAATCGATTTATTTGAACAGTAGTCATAAATTCATTTTGTTTATGATTAAATCACATCTCTAATTTTAATTAGCTAATTACGTCTGCTGTCTTACGTAAGCTTGACATTGTGTCCTAACTGCTGATTCTCCTAACTATATACTCATACAGCAAACAATACGAGAAATAATTTGAGAGCATTTAAAATTTTCATTCATAAATTGGGCGCTAGCAGCGGACATTTTACATATGAAAATCCAAAAAACATGGAAGTAAACTAACAAAAAGCATACATTGCAATTGAGTAAAGCCTAACAAAACTAGAATGTCACCCAAATCAAGTCTCAGGATCAGACTCAAGCGGCTTAACATCCACTTGCTCGTATGGAATTGGCATGGCCAATGTAACTCCAACGGCAGTAAGGGCTTTGAGCCAGCCGTGTCTGAATCCTTGATTCTCAAATTTGGGGACTTCTTCTATGTAGTCATCAAAAGTGGTGCTCTTCCCAGCCTCGAACGCTGCAGAAGCCTCAGATTCGGATTTTTCCTTGGCCTGCTTTAACCCTTCCAACTCGGCCTCCAGTTTCGTAAGCACCTCATTGGCTAACTTGAGCGATTCCTCACTCACGTTTGCCCTCCCCTCGGCGTCAGACCTGAGTTGATCAGCAGTCCTGGCCCTTTCCTTATCAGCCTCCGCCTGTGCACTTTCCATTGCGGCCCTTATTGCCTCAAACTCCGCCCTGCTCCTTTGGCCATCAACTTCCGAATGCAAACGGCCAATCCTTTCAACAGCGTCACGCTGGCGTCGGCCTAATTCGGCGATCCTTTCAATTGTCTACAAAACAAAGGATTGTCACATTCCAAGAAACATCGAATGTAAACCAAAAGATCATCACATTCCAAGGATAAACACTTACCAAAAAGGCCAACTGGGTAGCTAATGCTACCGTTGCCAAGTCCGGCTCGGCACGAAAGGTCGCCATGTCAGCCAGCAAGGAGACCGCGGCAGCCAAGCTCAATGTCACAGCTGGATCTTTCAAAGCCGACGCTTCGGAGGAGATCGACATGTTTTTTTATCTTTGGTTCAATGATGAAAGGAGCAACCATAGCCGACTCCTCTAAGCGTGGTCGCTTATCAACAAGGCCGTCTTCAGAGCCACCCTTGTCCTCGGCACTTCTTTTTTCACCTCGATCCTCCGAAATCAGCAACTCTTCTGTAATCGGGCGCTCGACATCCTTTTCTGTCTCGGTGTCGACAACCTGGGTCGATTCCTCTACAACAGTAGGTTGAATAGATTCAATCGGGACAAATTCAGAACGGATGGCCTCGGCCTTTTCGGGCAGCCATGTGTTTAGCGTTCCTCTTTCGTGCCATCTGCGTAAGATTTTCCCCAGCCATATCTTCAGAGTAATCACCGGGAAGGTCTCCCAAGTTCGAAAAAATATCTTCGAAGGCGTCCCCTCGGCCTGATGTAGACGGAGGGTCAGAATAGTTCAATCTGGCTTCCTCAAAGGCCGAATTAATTGCTTCGTCAATTTCCGCGACTGACTGGTCCGAATCCTCGGCGATTAGTTCGACCACTTGTTCTTCTGCGTGTTCAGAATCAGATGACTCTAAACTGATCTGCCTCAAGTTTTTGAAGCTGGGAAAGATGAGGGCAGCAAGTTGATTGTCGCCTTGCGCGATCGGAATGTTGTCTGCCGCCGAGAACGTTGTGTAAGTCGGCTCGTACTGCAGGAGAATGTGGGTTGCCCTCCCTTGTTTTTGAAGGTTTAGACGGCCGACAAACTGTAGTGCGGTTTTGATTTCTGCGAGCATGACGTCGTCGTCTGAAACCAACACTTTCTTCATATCACTGCCTGCACAAACAAAACGATAAGATGAACATAGTGCCGTATACATATACATGCAAATATGAAGACCAAAGTGATCTAATCGGCCACCTGGTGCGCCTTTTTTCCTCGGCACTAGGTCTAGACGATCTTCGCCTCCGCCGAACTCCCAGTTGCCGCGGACAACGACTATCACGTCGTCGACACGCTTGCCAGAGCTAGCGAGCATAGTCACTAAGTGATGATCAGTATCCTTAGCTCTAAGAAAGTAGCGCCCTAGCCAGCCAGTAGATTTGGCAAGGGCGTAACAGTGCCGAATGGCAGGAATACCTAAATTGGTCCTAAGACGACGATTTAGTTCTACGATCGCCATTATGATATGAAAGAAATTGACGTTGGGCTAGGAGGGGATCAGACCCCAGTATCTAAGAACGACCCTCAAAAGTGGGTGACGAGGAAAGCGGACTCCGCCCTCAGCAATTGATAAGAGAGGAAAGATGATTGTGCTCTCATTTTCCCTCTATATATTAGTGATGCTGTCTGCCAAAGTGACAGGTGGACATCATTAGGGATGGAGAAATGGCGTCGAAAGTCGAAGATTCAATCCGCCGAAAGGAGCTCTTTTAGATGTTTTGCCATTCTTTTTAAGCCAAACCCAAGGATTACGAAAAGTTAAAAGCCAATAAGGAAGTGGGATCAAAAATGAAGGAGAAGAAGACTTACAGGAGATAAAGCGAGAAACGAGTTGTAGAAGCCGCGAAGAGATAGAGTTGCACTGGAGGGCGAGCAAGATATCTTTTGAACATTCAGGACATACACTCGAAGAGGCAATTTCAAATCATATTAAATGGAAGCAGTGTACGAAGGGACGAGAAAGCGTTATGATGACTAAGAAGCATGTGTGCATTCTGACACGCATTGGGAAGAGGGCTAACCACCGAATTTTTGACTTCTCAGGCTAAAAGCCAAACACGCCGACTAACTGATGATAGCAGGGTGTTTGGGGGGCAATGGTGGGAGCCAGATTTTATTAGATCCGTAGGGACGGATGAGCGTGTTTGGTCCGAAATGAAACCTGTATTTGGCATATACCCCAGCCAGTTAAGGAGCCGAATAAAATAACCAGTATCCTAGCCAATAGAACTGACGCCGAGTAGAGGTACATGTGATGGAACAAGGATGGGCCCAGCCCAAAGGCCCAAAGAAAATACTATAAATATGGGATCATCCATAAGAGAGTTAGAGGTGAGAATTGTTATGCTTAATTTAGAATATAAGTAATCTTGAGTGTTGAGACTGACTTGTCCGTCGGAGTGCTAATTCCAGCACCCCTGACCGGAGTGTTTATTCATTTTTAGGTGACTATCAGCGGGTCACGAGCGTCTCCCAGGATCAGAAGAGTATTTCCAAACCACTTCTCCACACCAAATATTTGAAAAATCGACAATATAAGCAGAGGATGTGATATTATTATTAATAGCAATTTTAGGTACAATAGTCATTACATTCATCTTAAACAAACCGTTGTTCAGATATCCTTTCCCCACATAAACCCCACTTTTAGTGAGTACAAACTTATCAGGCTCAAAAACCAACCCAAACCCATTTTTACACAGCAAAGACCCTGACACAAGATTCTTCTGAATTTCTGGCACATGCAATACATTGTTGAGAGTAAGCTCTTTCTCTGAAGTCATTTTTAGAATCACCTTTCCTTGTCCTTCAACTTTGGAAGTCGAGGAGTTTTCCATAAAAAGCTTCTCTCCATTATCAACTGTTTGATAAGATGTGAACATTTTCTTGTCTAACCAAATGTGGCGTATGGCTCCAGAGTCTGCCCATCACTCTTTAGGATTCCCAACCAAATTTCCTTCAGATACTATTGCGAAGAGATTGATGTCATCAACACCATAGGCGATAATGTCTACTTTAGTTATGTTGGCTTGATTTCCAGTCTTCTTGCCTTGCTTCTTTCCTTTACATGACTTCTTTTTGTTCTTTGGTGGACCACGACAATCAACAACACAATGACTAGTTTTGCCACAGTTGTAGCATATTCCTTTGAACTTTTGGATTTTGCCACCACTCTTAGGATTGTCATTAGAAAATTTCTTATTGTTTGAACTTTGTCCTTGTTCCACTATATTAGCCTTGGATTCCATCTAGTGATTGCTGCTTTTCTTTTTAGAGCATCAATTGACTTCCTCATTTCTCAGTCGCATAATCAAATCATCAAGATTATCTTCTTAAAATCCTTTCAAGCGGGTTGCAATTTTTCAATGGTTGCAGCGACTTGAAAAGATTCCCCGAGGATGATCCCTTCAGCAAGAATATCATGGAGAATAACTTGGAGTTTCTAGACCTGATTAATCACGGTCTTGGAATCCACTATCTTGAAGTCTAGAAATCTATCGATCGACAATGTATTTCTTCATTTCAACATCTTCTGATTTGTAATTTTTATCCAAGGTTTCCCATAGTTCTTTTGCAGCCCTCTTTGGACTACAATAAACATTATATAGTGCATTATTCAAACCATTGAGGATGTAATTTCTACATAGAAAATCCCCTCGATTCTAAGTTTTTGTAGCAATAAGAACTTGATGATCTATTTCATCTTCCTTCACTTTTGCAAGTTCTTAATGAAGGAATCGAGCCATGTTCAAAGTAGTTAGATAAAAAAGAATTTTATGTTAACAATGTTTGAAGTCACTACCATTGAACTTCTCGAGTTTCTCTCCATGATTAACCAGGACAGTTGTAAGGACAGTCAGAAGCACGACAGAAGGAGAAGTCAGGAGAACTTTGTCATTACTCGAAGCATTCTCTTCAGTATTCATTTTTTCTGATTACAAAAACCAAAAGTGGGATGAATACAAACACAAAAGATTGAACACTTAATTCTATCTTAAGATTGTTACAATCTTAAGTGTAAATTAATAAATAAGAAGATACAAAATTTCTGGTATAAACAAATTAATCCAGAAAAAGAAAATAATTACAGAAAATAAATAAATATGAAGAACTCATAGCAGTAAAGACTTTCAGAGAGAATTGAAGCAATCGGGTCTAGTGTTTAACACTATCTTTTTAAGACATAATTTTCCCATGCATTGGTGCCTTCAAGTATTTACAGCGTCCGTCTCCCACGATACAACAATCAAACTCTCACCGAAGTAGCATAACCACGGTGAGCTTGGCGACCCAAATTGTGTTTATATCTCTCTTTCATAAAATATAGAAACAGAAGAGAAGAAAAGAAGAACAAAAGTAAGAAAGAAAATTGAAGTGCCTAGAATGGAAGAAGGAATGACTATTTATAGTGTATGATGACTGTTTGGTGAGGTTACATTCCTTCAAAAAAACTATAACAGTAAGGAAGAAGGTGAAAAGAGGCATTGGATCGGGAACGACCATATTGCAATGTTTTAGAAAAATGCTAGGGTAATTTCAGAAATATTTGAATTCAAATGTCAAAATAAAAAATTTCTTGCAAGATTTTTGGACTGAAAATTCAATTAAATTTGGCTCAAAAAGATAATAAGACCCAAGTTAGACCTACTCCACGCACCACGCACTCGAACCCGAACACGGCACAGCATGGCTGACCGCGTGCATGAGATTTTTGGCATAAACCCACTTGTTCATAGCCTTGAATGTAAGTCCATCCATAAGTCCTTCTCTTGGTATATATAAACCATTTAACCTTCTTCTCTTCTAGCAACGTGGGATATTCATTTATTGCACCAAGACTTTCCATATTCATGGAGCTCTTTTTGGTGTCAATTTCTTATTCACTACGTGGCATATTATACATCATCACTAGGACCCACCAAAAAAGGTATGTAGGTCCCATTTTTATTTTGACTTAAACTAAGCCAAAACTATGGGTCAAAACCCAATTTTTCCAACAGGAGATTTTATCAAGAATCTTCTAAGAAAATCTAGTTGGGAGATAGTTGAGCCATGTGAATGTGAAAAAATTATTTAAAAAAAAAGAAGAAGCAGAACTAAGAGGATGCCTTATGGTAATAAGATCAGTTATTTAGATAATAAGGTAATAGTGGGAAGATCATACTTATCCAAGACTAACACCAACATTGAAACTGTAGGCCAAAGAGTGGCCTTTATTAAATGTATTCTTCTTAAC